GCTGTGCTCCTGGCCTGCCCCTCTCTTGGGCAGTTTGCGGAGCTGAAGAGGCAGGGCAGCTGCTACCACTGTGTTGGCAGGAAGATGTGCAAAGCTGAAGACACTCAAATACAGGATCTGACCAAAAACCAAAGTTGGGGCTTGGAAAATACAACACAAATCCATCAGGGCGTTTTACTCCAACTAAAATGCACCAGGGTCCAGGACTGGCACCACCTGGTCATCACAACGAACCCAATGGCAGCCCTTCCATTACACAGCGATGAAGAAAATCTTGCGAAAAAAATGATGCGGAGAAAACATCATACTAGGTAGCGACCTGCCACAGGATCAGGAATTGGGAGCGTGGGTATGGACGCTAGAGGAGCAAATTCAAATATACAGAAAGCCTGATCCTCAGCAGATGCTAAGAGAGAAAAAGGGTGGGGGGGGAAAGCACTATTTTGACAACACCTACGTAACTTGTCACGGCAAAGTACTACTGAATTGTTACTGCTTGGTCGCCTTTTAGACAGTCGAACGCTCAAGTGCAATGGTTGGAGAAGACGGCTATTCGCAAATATGAGCAGGCTCTGATGTACCTGAAGTACCTTACAGGCACCAGCTGGAGCAGTCTTATCCTTTCAAACATCTCTTCACTCAGGCAAAAACAAATAAAAAAATTAAAAAACCACATACTGGCACCTCTTCTTTAGCCCTGTAGAAACAGCACAGCTGCTGTACAAGGAGCTGGAGCCCCTGGGCTTGCGCATCAGCAAACTGGTGAGCGCAGAACCAGTGCTCCTGCTGACACGCAAGCAGGGAAAGACTCAGCTCCTGGGTCCTACTAGGAACTCTCAACTCCCGAGTCCCACCAGGAGGCACAGCTGGCTAAAAAAAGTGCTTTTTCTTGTAAAACGTACTAGCTTGGTCTGGAGTCACTGGAAGAAACGGACACTTTGGTGCCTTTCCCCGCCCCCCCCTTGTTGTCATTCAGAACTATAACCACCCCAAGTCTGAACCTCTCACATTGAGAAATCTAGCTAACTACCTCCGGGCTTGTGAACTGACCACGGTATTAGGGCTCCTTGTAGCAGCTGGTACCTAGGAGGTGCAAAGTGCCTCTAGGAGTGCAGGAAAAACCAAGGCATGCAGATTTGAGGAAGCTCGGAGAGGCACGTGGGCAAACTCTGCGGGTGAACTGGGAACGCTCAAAACACAGACCCTTTGAAGTGAGGCCCAGGATCCAGTGGAGAGAGAGATGCGGCGGGGCGAGTTGCACTTGCAACAGAGGAAGAGGAAGAAACTACGGGGAGGCTCCCGGCCTGCAAGTCCACATCTCTTGGTTCTGAGTCCATATGACAGCATCTCTGAATCGCTCGCTCATCAAGCTCTAGCACAAAAGGAATCCAAAAATAGACACTTTCCAAAGAGTTACAAAACGGTCTGTGTTTGCGAGTCTTGCGGCTGCACTGAGAAGTCAGAGGTTGAGGACAGGCACGTCAAAGAGGTCACAGACGCCTTCGCTCTCGTCCAGGTTATAGATGTAGTCGTGATCTCCAGGTGGAGGGGAGAGGCGGAGCAAGGGAGCAAACACTGGGGAAAGAGAAGCCCACACTCGGTTACAAAACTCAGCACTCCCACACCTAGTTGAGAGCTGCCAATGGGCGCCGAGCTGCGGAGCCACGGGAAGGCCACCTCACAATAATGGTCTTTGAGACTGATTCAAATCAGCCTTGCGATACGAAGAGACAGGCTCTCCTGGTCCTCACAGCTCTCTCCGGGACTGGCAGGACAGTGAGAACAGAGTCTGTGTCCAGAGCCCGGAAAACAGTCTGCAGTCACAAGGCTGTCAGCTGGGTAAGCAACGCAAAACGGTCTTCCTCCCCTAGAAAGGCCACACCATGGCAGGGAGATTCAAAAACTCACCTTCAGATGACATCAGCTCTTCCAGCAGCTCCGAGTTCATACATTCTGGGGAAGAGACAAGCATGGTTAAGCGATGCATTCTGCTTCCCTGGTCTGTTTCTGTGTAATTCCCCACCCTTCCCAGGGTGCTCCTCACCCGCGCTCTCCCTTCGCTAAGGCAGAGCGTGCGCAGCAGGCAGCGGTGAAAGGAGGCTTGGGCCTCCCGCCACGGGCAAAGGGAAATCTCTGTTGGACAAGCTACATCAAAAAATTCTGCAGGAGGTTTCTGCCAGCTCAGCTCAAGCACACGCCACTCTGCTCCACGCGACGGGCTGTGCCTTACCCCTGCACCGGCATGCGGGCTGGTGCCCCAAACTCCTCCAAAGGAAACGCTTCAACATGTACCTGAAGCTGAGCCCAACGTATTCACCATCCTCAATCACCCACCAATTCTGCTAAGATTGGGGAAAATATTAAAAAACAAATGAGCTGTTCCAGGAGCAGTAGAACTACCAAACCTCCAATTTCCTCCAGACTTGTATCCTCTGTCCCCCTAATTTGCTCCCCTTGCCCCATGGCTATGCTGTGGTGGCTAATCCAGCCGTACGCCCGGGCACATTCGCTGGCCGCCCGCTGCCAAGCAGAATGAACATCTGAGCTCTGCATACCCTTCTTAATGGGCCATTAACTCTGCTCTCCCCTCTGCTGCCCACACAAAACCGTAACAAAATTAATTCTCTCTGAAATGTCATTCCTTCCTCCAGCATTGTTACTCTTGGCTAGTAGGTTCACGAGGCACTTGAAGGGTAGAGACAAGCAGCCAGGCGAAGCTCGTGCAAGTCGATCTCTTTAAGAAGCTGAGCGTTTGAAAACAGCTTTCTAAACACCTCTCCCGCTTTACCAAGTTCAGCTCTAACTCAGTCTAACTGGATTGATACTACCCACACTTGAAATAAGCTTTCACAAAGGAAACTCAGATCAGCCCATTTTCAAGACGTTTATCCACAGCAGAGTGTTTCCTAGAGGACCTAATTCAGTGCCAGGAGATGGGAGAATTTCAACACCAAGCAACTAGACAGGACTAAACCAGCTTCGATAAATAGCAATTAAATGCAGAACCTGCATTCTTAGGTCAGAGCTGGTAATACAGCAGGGAATGTGTATGTGTGTGTTGAAATTCAGCGTTTTTTCCAGGATATGAGTTTAAAACAAGCAGTTATTAAGCACCCAGTTAAAAGAGAGAGAAAATACAAAACAGTAAGGAAGAACTCCAGGTTCTCACAGCTTGAACTGCATAGCCTTAAAGCAGCTGCAGTGCCAGGGCAACATCACTGGGATCAGGCAGGGATGAGGTGGCTGCATGGAGCATGCTGCAAGGCCTGTTTCTCTGAGCTCTGCAGGGTTGCCTTTTTTTTTTTTTTTTTTTTTTACAGTCCTGAGCTTTGCCTCAGTAGCTGCCGACTCTGTTTTGCAGAACACAGCTTTCATTCGCAATTCAGTAGTGGATCTGACTTTGCCATCTTGCGTTGTCCTTCACGCCTGGATCTCTACCGTCATCCTCCAAATTGGCAAGATAAAACACCACAGATTACCGCAGACGGCAAACATCTCTTTAAATAGTGTCCACACAGTGAGTTTAGGTTAAGCTAGATCTTCTACACGGGCTGGCGCCTTACAACAGTTTATGTTTCACATTGCAAAGGCAAATTTATTCTTCAGAGGTACTTGGTCTTTACCAAGACCTCATCCACTGTCTACAGCAGCAAGTGCTGAGCGAGGAGGACAGGTGTTCTCCAGGCTGACCGCAGAGCCCAGGGCTCCCAACACACGGATCGGAGGCTGGCGCGCATGCGTTTGGGACCACGGGGTTTTTTACACAACGGCAGCGCTTTCCCAGAGCACCTGCTAGAGCACAGAACCAGGGACTGCTGTACATATCCTGTCATTGCCACAAAAGTGCTTGTGTGTACTCAGCTCTGCCGAGCTGCGGGGCTAGAAAGTATTATTTCAGCACTGAAGGGAAATAAACGTGCAAATAAAGAGAGTTTCCCGGTTTACGCTTATGTCAGACCAAATTCTTTCACCTCTCCTGCATCTAGGCCCAGAGTCTGGCCCACCATTAGGCAGCAACGTTCCTTGGGTGGAGGCAGAACTAACGCAAGTAACAGCTTCTCCTCCCCTGCTGCTCCAAAATTACTGGTACGGGGAAGGGAAAGCCCTCATCTACACACCATGGGGCAAACTAACAGAGGTTACTAGCAACAGGAAGACAGAAAAATAAATACAGAAACCAGTAATTTTAAGAGTGCCTAACTACAAGTAGAGACCCAGCAGCCACCAAGAACCACAAGCACCTTACAAAACCACAACCCCAAAATAATCCAAAAGGGGGTGCATAAAACAAACTGTCCCACTTCTGTGGGTAGACGGGCACAGAACAAAGCCGTGGTCAGGGAGTGAACATACCTCTTGTTGGATCAAACATCTCTGACAGCTCTTTGGGAAGTTCCAGTACTGCAAATACAACAAACCAAATGGTTTGCATTGTTACATGAAGAGTCTGAAATGCTTTACAGCATAATCAGCTGCTGTCCCACTGTACTCCTCATGCACCCAAATCATCCTACGCCATCCAGAAATTCTGCTCCCACCCCCCCCCCGTCACTTATTTCTGCTGAAACGATAAGCAGTAAAATACTTAAGCTCAACTACTTTAAAATAGATCTGTAGGAGCCCCGGGACGTGGACACGTTATCACAGCCAGCAGCTCTACAGTAACTGCCTGTATGTAACCCTCACACGGCGTCAGCGTCCGTACGCCTCCTTGATGCATGACTCCTTTAGAGTCGGCGCAGGCCCACTGGGCTACGGGAAGCTATACTCACATCAAAGGTCTAATTCCGCAGGCAAGGCTACTCCAAGATGAGGGCAGACAGTTCACGCTTCTCTCGGACACGCCAGCAGAAGTGCAAAAAAGCACTGCACGAGCTAATTTCAGCAAGATTTCCTCTTTTAACTGTAACTCTCTAACCAAGAGTATTTCTGCAGTGACGATAGGCTTCAAAACCTTAAAGCGGCGTGTCTTACTTAGAGGATTCTTTTCTGTCCTTGGGCCAGCCTGCCATTTCCTGCCATAAAGCTCAAATGTTCCTTGTTTAAAGCCCATTTCACCTCACCGAGCACATCAGGAAGCTCCCCAAATATACACCGAGAGATCGTTAAGACCACAAGACCGCTAAAGATAGACGAAGTACATCCGAGTGAAGGAGGAAAACAGACACTATAGCTCTCCTAATAAAGGAAAACTCCCCAAGAGTTACAAAGGTGCTCTCAGTGACGGCTGGAAATTCTACAGCTTCACACAGTCTCAAAAATTAGACCTAGCACTATGGAAGGGACTGCAAGGGAATAATCCCACCTATAAGAGCAGAGGCATGTGCCATGTGAGCGACCCTTGCAGGTTTTCTAGCACTGGTGTCACAGGAAGCGTCAGGACACGAGACATGACACAGTCACCTCCTCACCAGGCTCCCCAGCACCCTCACAGGGCAATGCCTACTCATCCCTCGCAGAGTCTTGCTGACACCGAAGGCAGAATGGAGTTCAGCTTCTTCCTCCAGGCCCAGCAGCCTTTCCCTCGCTCCGAACGGCACGCTTTCGGGGCAACGCACGAAAGGAGGGTTCATACTCACTTCCTGTGGGATCGGGCTTGATCGGCTCGAAGGAGGTAGAGGGGCTGGGTAGGACGGAGCTGCTGTCCAGCGAGGCAGAGGACTGTAGCGGCTGGGTATCCAACCCGGCCGGCTGGCCGGCTGACGCAGACACGTTGCTGAGGGGGTCAAAGTCGCCGCTGCTCTTGGACTCTGCTGCTGAGACACCACATTCTGGAAAGAGCCACAGACACACCCGGGAATGTCGTCTCCCACCAGCCCCAAAGCAAGCAGCTGCAGCGCAGCCCGAAGCCTCGCTGCCAATGCTGAGCAAGCACAAACATAGGAAGAAGGCTTCTTGCTTTCACCAAGTAAAAACTCCCAGGTCCTGCTGCAGCTCCACTGGAGAGCAGTCTTGGTGGTGCCAGGCTGCACGTAAGCCAAGACCGTGCTCTCCAGTAACTAACACAAGCCAGGTAGTAAGCTACACCAGGAGAAGCGTGGCCAGCACACTGAGGGAAGTTACTATCCTCCTGCTCACGGCTGAGGCTGCACTTGCAATAGTGTGTCCAGCTTTGGCCATCCCCCAGTTCAAGAAGGACGTGGAGAATATCCGGCTGAGGGCTACCAAGATGGCCAGGAGTCTGTGGCATGTGGCCTACAAGGAGGGGTGGAGGGAGTTGAGCTTGTTTGGTCAGGCAAGGAGAAGTCTACAGGCGATCTAACGGCAGCTTGCAGCTACTTGAAAGGCAGGTACACAAATGAAGAACTTCTCAGTGGTGCCAAAGGATGTAACATGCACAACAGGCACGAGATGCAGCTGAGAGGGTGCTGCAGCCCTGAAGAGCTCACTGAGGAAGCTGGGGATCTACACCACTGAGGTTTTCACCAACCAACCCAATCTAGTACTTTTGACAGCCTTTTTTCAAACCGAAAGTTGAACAGAAGACTCGAGCAGACCCTTTTACAAACTTCTGCTAATTAACGAATCTGCGTGATTAGTCTCCCCCCCACCATTGCCCCCCCAGGCTCCCACTACCCCCTCAAGCTTCAGAAGCCACCTGTATCATTTCCATTAGCACACCCAGCCCGTCCCACTACTCAAGGCAAAAGAAAAAGCTCACTGCACCAAAGGCAGAGGTGCCGCCTTTGCCAGGAGCCGACAATGCTGCACGACCAGCAGCGCCAGCCCCAGCCAGGTCGAGGAACGCACTCTCCTTCGTCGGCCGCCATCCCATTTCTGCCTCCTGCCGCCTCCTCCTCACCTGTGCTGGCGGCTTTCTGCGCAGGAGGGCTGTGGTCCTGAGTGCTGGTGGGTGTTGGTGTGGAGGGCTGGGTGCTGCTGGGAACAGATGCCTCCTGGAAGTGGGTGAGCGGTGGTATCTGTGGTTTTGAGGGTGCAACTGCCTGGCATTGAATGAGGTCTTCAGGGGGAGGGACGGGTAGTATGACAGGAGGAGAGCTCCAAGCATCTTTGTTTACTAAGAGAACATCAATGGGACCACTTGTGCTCTTCAGATGGATCTGATATTTCTTCTGCCCGTTCAGGCCCTGAGAAAAGTCAGAAGCAGAACACAACCGTACATTAAATGCCCTTTTCAAACAGAACAGAAATTTCCCAGAGGCAAGATGTGCTGTCCAGACAGTTCAGCACGGTTCCACACACAATTCGCCCAACTCCCAGGACTGTGCCCTCCCCTGGTGCTCCTGCAATTACTCACTTCCAAACAACAGAGCTTCCTGGCAATTATTTAATATCTGGAGCCTTCCTCGGGTTGCTGGTTCCTCCGACTCCATCAAACCCCTGACTGCCAACTCTCAGCCTGGTCAATCCAGCAACAACACCCGCACCCCCACACACCCCTGCACTCTGCCCATGTGATGATCCCTCACCTCGGGGACGGGAACCTCCAAACGCGTGCCTGACGGGGCTCGGATTGCAAGGAGGGTGTCTCCTGTGAAAACAGACTGGTCAGCACTCAGTGGGCACAAACTGTTCTGATGATGATGAAGCGCTGACAAAGAGCCCCTCCTCAAAGCCCCCTACCTCCTGCGCTCCCTTCCGCAGAGGATTGCCATTTACACCCTGCTCAGCATATCCCACAGCTCCCAACGTGCCCAGGGCACAAAGAACCTGCCAAGTTTCTCCCAAAGCAACCCTAAAGTTTTTTAGCAGCACCCTTAACAGGACTTTTTTCTTTCCCTCAGAAGGGCTGGCTTAAATTCACTCTTAAGAACATCTGAATCCTAAGGGGAGGATCCTTCATCCTGTTGTCGCAAGCTTTTAGAGGTGAATTATAAACAAAAGAGCGCACAACTTGAAAAGCTGCACTGCCAGCGGAGAGATGGTATTGAACTCTGCTCAGGAGCCATGCTGGAGTACCCGTACGCGAAACCAGTGCTCCCCAGTCTCTACTGGCAAGAGAGCTGCCTGGCGTCAGCCGTATTGACCCTGCAGAGAGCTCAGCACACGCGGGGCCGGGAGCCAGGCTGACAGCATCTTTCCTTTTCAAGTGCTGCAGCTCCTTAAGACCCATGCCCCTAATAACACAACAGTCACAGGCGAGCAGCTTCCAGTCCACATCCGGGTTTAGAGAAACGTGAACGGAGAAATACCAGTGCTGTGAACATTAGACGTATTCGGACCGAGCAGTTAGCAGCTTTCACTTTGAGTGTTTAAGCTTTGGTGTGGTTAGTATTCACACTTCACCGGTATTCTGCATTAAGCTTCACTTGATAATTAACACAGAAGATCCCCGGAGCGGTGAGAGAGAGTGGACAGCAGAAGAGCGCATCCTTTAATTTCAGGCAGGCAATCAAAGGTCAGATCAGCAAAAGGTACAGGGATTAAAAGTACCACAGGATTTGTCAATGAGGTGGGATTCCTTTAACAGATCTGCACTTAAGAAAAATATTGTTAAAAGACATTAAAAATGCACAATAAAGCTCAAAGACACAAGCTCAAGCTTTAAGACCTTTTAGCTTCAGCAACACAGGAGTTGCATTTCTATCTCCCTTGACAGCTACCTCCCAAATACTTTTACAAAACAGCGTACAAGTGTAGATCCTCTTCCTTTTGGATTCTGCAAGTGCTAAAAGCATCGCAGCAACAGATGGGACAATTATGTTTCCCAGTCACTAAAAACTAACCTATTCTCACTTTTTCTTGTTTTTAATTAATCCAAATACTGAATCCATATTTGACAAGAGTCCAAGCATGGAAATCTTCAAGCCCTAACTCACTTTGAGAAAGCAAGTTCAACAGCAGTCAATAAGAAAAAGCAGGAGCTGAAATTCAGCCTGCACCACAGTTCAAGAACACAAGAGTCCAACAAAAATCCTCTGCAAGGCTCAGGTGCTCAGGAGAGGAGGAAAAAAAAAAAGTCACACAAGGCATATTTGTACAGGAAAACTGAACAGACAACACAAAAACATGGATCAGCCCTCTGTTCTAGAAGGAATTAGATCGGTAAGATCTGATCTCTGCACATTTTGGTGAGGTCTGACTTCAGACACAAACCAGTTTACAAAAAACAGGTGCAATAAAATGCAAAACACTCAATCAACCAAGCAATAAGCTGTCTGCTGGTCTCCAGTAAACTCTTCCAGACTGTTACGAGTTATCTGGCCCCAAGCACTGTCAAACTGAAAACCCAATCCCTGCCCCCAAAAAGCCCTAGCTTAAATCAGAAGAGACAGTAAAGCAAAGGGGGTGGTGATGCATAAGCTACCCGCAGGAACTCGAGCAGCAGAAAGTCTGGCGAACAAGGAAAGCACGCAAAGGCAAAAAAGAAAAATAGAAGAGCTGATGAGGTGTAGGGCAAGAAGAGTGCTTGGAAGGCATGAGGAGAGAGTCAGACAAGGGTGAGATTACGCGTGGCTGGGGGGGACGGGGTAAGCAGCTTCAATCTCTGCTGCAAGCAAGCAGATGCAGGTTGCACGGGGTCAGGCGTCCACCGAAGCAGAAAGGAACTGCCGCTCCACACCGCTACAGCTGAGACGAGCAGTTTGTGTACTGCAGACTGCCGTATCGCACGCGGGCCACTGGGGATTTTTTCTTTTTTTTTGGTCCTACAGCTATGATTCAAATTGGCAATAGAGAAGAAAGAGAAGCTCCCGTGGGTTTTCTTCACTTTTGCCCCAGAGAGAGGGAACGTACGGCTTTTTACGCAGGCGCCTCGCAGCTTTAGGAAGGCTGTACACAAGGGAGCGAGGTCACAGCAAGCCGTGTATTCCCTTCTGTCCTGCTCTTCACCACCTCCCTCTTGCATTCTTGTTGGTGGAGGGCACAATGCAGCCGAGGGACCACTTTTTATACTATTTTCCCGCTTACACCCAGATTTCTAATAAAATTTGCTTCCTATTATTAGAAGAATGTCCACCTAAGCCCTTAAAATCAAGGGGTTCTAACATAACACACATACACCCACATAGCGACACCCAGCAAAAAAGACTTCCTTAGGAACAGCTGTTAATTTCCTTTAAACACAAGTAAAAGAAACCGCCTGCCCCCTCTGATGGTGACAAGAAAGCTACAGCTCAGTGGCACGCAAACGCTGGATGGCGTCAGGGCTCATGCTACGTTTAACTTGATGCTGTTGGGCAGCCCGTGGTCCGCTGCCTCCTCTTTCCTGGAGGAAGGAGGGCAGCTGGGACAGACTGATCGGACTGCAGCGTTACGTCTTTATGATGCAGCGCCGTTTCCTCACCTGTGAAGCACTTGCAGATATCTTCATGTGTCACATATGCTAATGTTTCCAAGGTTAAGGAGAAAGGCCGCAGCTTCCTGCGAAGACAGAGAACTCAAAGGGCACCTGGCACTTCCTTCCTGAGCACAAGAAATACCATTCCCAGAAGACTCTCCCCGCCACACGCTCAAGTGGCAAGGTCTGCAAGCCGCAAGAGCGGCTCTGTGCTCAAGAAAGCGGCACCTGTGACTCAGAGAGAAGCATTTTTCTCATCATGGTAAACATTACACTGGTTTTTACTTCAAAAAGCCAGAGGAGAAGCTGTGCACCACAGAGAAAGCTGGATCCCAGGCTGGACAGTAATTTCAAAGGCAGATCCTCCAGCAGCTACAGGTCACCACCACCCCACTGCCCTGAGTGGGGCAGCACCAACCCAGCCCTCAGGTCTCCTGCTTTCCAACCCAGCAAGTGAACAGAGAGACGGAGTAATCAGTTCACACAAAGGATATCGACTGTTCTGCACGTCTTCCGTAACGTTTTTGATGCTCTGCTGATCCCACATCTTCTGCTGCTCCAGCTCCTGCTCCCGCTGCTCCAGGTCCTCTATGTCTGCCTTCAGCTCGATGAGTTTGTGAGCTATTTCACGTGTGTTGCAGCCAGGACCCACCCCTCTGGGGAAAGTGAAGAGGAGCGACACGCATCAGACCAGCCCCAACCTCTCAGGGAGGCTGCCACCTCCCTTACTGCCACCTCTCTCATACGACAAGCCCAGATCCCCTGGAAACCCTCATCTGCACCCGCTCTAGATCCCCACCTTCCAGCACAGCAACGCTTGGTGCACCTTCCTACACCCCACAGACTTGGCAGGGCTCTCCCCCACCCCCAGCATCATGACAAGATCTTTTCAAGCCCAAGCTGCTGCGAATACTTAAATTTGTACCAAAATAACAGCTCCGCTGTAAAAGAGACGCCATAGGTACTTCAGCTTTCCTCATTGCTACTCTCAGCATAGCCCAGCTGGGGGAAGTACAAGCCTGCACCGAGGAACCTTGCTCCGAGCAGGGCATTGTAACCCCGGTGTCATTTAGACTCGGACTAGAAGGGACCCTCAAACGATTTAGACCTTCTCTATCACTCACTTCCACTGGATACTGTTCTTGGATTTCTTCTCGATCAACCCGATGCCTTCCAGGACATTCGTGATATCGTAGATCCGTCGCTTCTGTCGCACAGCCAAGGTATCTGCAGCCTGCAAAAAGGTTAGATGCTTAACTCCAAACTCTCAGTCATGTTTCGCTCCTTCCTGCCCGTCAGATTAATTCCTGGCCAAGCACTCTGCTCACCATCTCATACCTCTCTTGTTCCAGCGCCTCAAATTACAAAGCCGTGTTCTCAAAGTCATTACGACCATGAGAAGAAGCCACTGCTCCTTCGTTCCTTTTCTTATCCAGCAACCTTCCGACTAAGCACAAACCAAATTCCAGCCATCTCGCTTGCACTAGGTCCAAAAATCACCATTTCTCAGCAGCAAAGCAGCGCTAGAAGGCACTAGTCTGGCAGCCTAAAAATTCAGTGCTCCTTCAGGGTAAAAGAGATGGGGACGGGAAGAGGAATGCAGAGCGCTGCCTGTGCGACTGACAACAGGTTAGCGAAGTTGACACTCAAAAGGTCTTTTCTAAATCTGATTTGATGCCGCTTGATAGAGAACTGACACCTTTTCAAAAGGCACCTCTGTTTGAAAGACACTGGGAGGAGAGTAAAGCATGGCTGTACGGGTCCTGAGCAGCACCGGGACTCCCCTGCCTTGCTCACACGACTCTCCACCCATCACGTTTTGGGACAGATCGGACTGCACCGATACGCCTGTTGCCACAACCGTATGGCAACCTACCACCAGCAAGAGTTTAACGGGCGCTGCGCCGGCACAGCCAGGACCAGCAACGACAGCGGCAGCGCATACAGAGCGGGTCAGCACAGGAATAACGTTCCCCTACTGGTAACGGAGCGGGACTTCGGAGACCCTACACCGCACAACTGATCAAATCGCGCTAGCAAAGATGAATCCCACTTAAGGGACGTTTTAAGCAGGAAAATGTTGGTCTTCTGCCCAGAAGGAGAGGACGGAAGCGTACAGCCAGGAGACTCAGGGCTCTCCAGCACTTGTCTGCTGCTGCAAAGGGTCAGAGCGCACTCGTGCGCGTGCCCACGTAAGGGGCATTTGTACAAACTGCAGCAAAGGAACTTCACCTATAGAAGAGGTTTAAGTACTGTATATGCCACAAAGGCAGAGTTACTTCCTCTAGGTGAAGACCTTCACGACGCAGAAGCAGGGTGCGTTTCTCCACAGCCTAAAGGCGTCAGGGACAACCTTTGGCAGGGAGGAATGACCACACTTCCCCTCCTGACGCATGCCAGAGGGCCGAAGCACGGCAGGGAGGTACAGTTTCTATAGGTGTCTGTTTCTATAGGTCTCAGAGGCTGGATCTTATGGTGCCGGTGATCAAACAGCACCTTGGTGTGGGGCAAGAACGCAGAAGAGGTCAAGGCGGCCAAGCAGGGCTCCAGCTGAAGCACACAAACGCCTGCAGCGTCGGGCAAGGGCCGCCGCCTCCTCCGTGCTGGGGAAAGCGGCGGCTGGACAGACCGGCGGCGCGGGGAGAGCCGC